ATGAACCTGAGGAATAGTTTGGATAGGTTGACGATTGATACACTGAAGGTAGTATGTAGGGGGGAAGGTTTATCTGAGAAAGAAAATAAAAAGGAGTTGGTTGAGAGGTTGGCGGATAGGGTACTTAGTAAGGCTAAAGGAAAAGACAGGGTAGTGGATGGTACTCAGGGTAGGAACGTGGGTGAAGGAAGAATGGGCTTTGACGCAGAAGAAGGGTTGCATGATAATATTGCTAGGAATAGATCTTTGGATAATGTCGATGGAAAGGGTACGGGGTCTGAAGGTGCTGGGTATGCAGGGTATGGGGGTTATTTGGATTTCGACCAGCAGTATGTGGCTCTTGAGAAGTCAATCGAGAAGACGATGAAGGCAATGTTAGGGAAAGTAGTAGGTGAGATTAGAAAAAGTATACAACCAGTACACAATATGGAAGAAAATAAGTATTGGATTAAGAAAAAAATGAATAAGGCGTGAGACCAGTTCGAGTATGATGAGTGGTGTAAAGTTGAAAGGTATATGGATAGTGCTATCTTGAGCAATGATTGGGATATGATATCGAAAGCAAGGGAGGTAGTAGTTATGAGAGCATTTGTTTTAAGAATAGCGAATCGTGAAGGATGGAATATTGCAGCAGAAATTGGAGATAAATCTTCAAATGATCCTATGGAAGCATTTTTTCATGATAAACTAACAAGTGCAAGACAATCAGCTAAGAATAAATGACAGAGGGTAGAGAACAAACCTGTGTCACTGGGACTGGTATTCAATAGCTCACCTATAGGAATGGCAGTTCTTGCACCTAATCAGGGGATACAGTGGCCTTTAATTCAGCCCTTTCAACCTGTTCAACCATACCAGTCAGTTCAATCTTTACAATCAGGGTTTAGCCCAGGAGTAGGACCATTCTTTAGTGGTGTTCCTCAGGTTCCTTATCAAGTGCAAGAACGTCAAGCTTATGATAATCAGTGAGATGCTTGGAATAAGCTGTGGGTCTCACAACAGAATCAGAGGTCATATAATCCAAGTAGGCCCATGAGACAAAATAGAAGTACAGGGGTAGTGCGTTTCATTTGTGAGGAAAGGGGTCATATCACTTAGGATTGTCCTCAAAAGAAAACTAATCAGTTCTTTCATGGGTCGAGCTCTAAGGGGGAAGGAAGTTGCCTACGATTGGGAGGTAGAGAGTATACTGAAAGGAGTAGAACAAAAAGAAAGGAAGGTGGTAGGAAAAGTGCATCGGCAGTCATCAGTAACCTATTGGGAGAAAAAAATAAAACCAGCAGCAGTGGTAATAATGTGGTTAAAGGACAAAGTTTCACTGTTTGTGAAGGGTGTAAAGACATTAGCTTAAATGGAGGTCCCGAAACAATTTAGGCTAACAAAGAACAAGTTGGATTGGGTAGGCTTAGAGTTAAAGAAATTGAGAGAAACAGGGGCAATAAAATTAATACATGTAGGTCAAGAAAGGCTAGACTTTCTACTGGAAGTAAGCTCAGTGTTTCTTGTACTGAAGGCAGGGCCAAAGAAGTACTACCTAGTGATAGATTTGAGGAGGTTAAATCAAGTGTTACCAAAGAAATCATTCCGTTTTGAAGGGCTCGGTGGGTTTTTAAGAACAATAGGAAGAGATTGGTGGGTGATAGTGTTCGATTTGTGAGAAGGCTATTACCATGTTTTAATGAATGAATGGGCTCAGCATTTTCTGGGCTTTCGAATAGGGAAAGAGTGGTTTCATTACACGGTGCTCTCATTCGGTTTATGCTAGGCTCCATGAATATTTTCAAAATTAATGAGAGTCTTGATTAGGACATGGAGGTTGCAAGGCATTTTTTGCAGAAATCACATAGACGATGTATAGGTGGCATGTCCCACAAAAGAGACATTGTTGGCAATAAGGAATCAGGTAATAGAAGTTGATCTGGAGGGATGTAGCTTAGTTAGGGCATTGGACAAAGGTTGTTGGGAGCCTTCGAAGAGGGTAAAGATTTATGACCTAGTGGTAGATACAGAAAAAGGATTGGTGCAGATTCCAGGAGAAAAATTATTGAAAGTTCAAGAAGATTTGACGAGTTTGAAGGGTCTTCAGTCAGTTTCAGTAAGGAAGTTAGTGACAGTAGCAGGCTGAATTCAGAGCATATCACAGGTATTTCTACCAGCACAAGTGAAGTGTCTAGAATTGTATGTGATAATAGATGTGGCAAATCGAAATCGTTGGGAGTGGGACAAGAAGGTGTGTTTGACCGAAAAGGCATAGGAGGATCTAAGATGGTTAAAAGAAAACATTGTGAAGTGAAATGGGAAGCCAGTATGGAAACCATCTCAAATAAAAGCAGTTTTTGTAGATACATTGACAATAGGGTGGTGTGGGGTTTATCTGAATCACAGAGCAGCAAGAAATTGGTCACATTTATTCAAAGTGGTGGAAATTGCATAGTTGGAAAGTTTAGCCACATTAAGAGCCCTGCAATTTTTTGTAACATGATTAAGGCACTCTTGGATAATTATATACATAGACAACAAAGTGGCTCTAAGGTCAATTATTCAAGGGGGGCCATGTCCATGCCAAAAGGATATAGCGAGGTTTTTTTAAGAGTTTTGTATAAAGAATGATGTGTGGGTGCACGAGGTCAGATGGGTTCCAAGCTTAGAGAATCCAGCAGATTACCTCACAAGAATTTGGGATACAGGAGACTGGGAGTTGGACAATCAGACCTTCAAAGAGTTGGAGAACAAGTGGGGTGAGGTGTCAATAAATCGTTTGGTGAGCCACCTAAACACAAAGAAGTGTGCTTCAACAGCTACTATTTTTGTCCGAATTCAGAAGCTGTCAATTGTTTTACCCAGAATTGGGCAGGAGAGGTAAATTATGCATGTCCACCCTTCAGTTTAATACACTGGGTGTTATCGCACAGTCAGGAATACAGAGCACAGTTGTTGTTAATTCTG